TGTCACAGAACCAGGAATATTCAGGATGGGAAGGGACCCACAGAGTCCAACTCAGATGTGAATGGCCCGGTTTGAGGGATTTCAGTGCAATTCCCAGGCAGCAGCACAAGGAAGGGCCGGAATAACCTCAGGAATGGAGCTGGCCAGAACATGGGGAGGATGAGCAGTTTGAGGAGCTGCTGTGAGCTCGGAATCCCTGTTGGAGGAGGCTCAGCCCTGCCCTCCCGAGCTGCAGGCCCTGCTGGAGCAGCACTTGCAGCAGATGCACCGAGCCAGCACTAAACAGGCACAGAAATTTGGGAAGTGGAAGCAGGACACGGGCTGGCAACACCTCTTCCCATCCCAGCAGGACCTCCACCAATCTGGGTGGGTTTCCCAAATTTTCTTCAGAAAGGGGAGACACTGGAGGGGCACAAAGACAAACCCCCGAATTCCAGCAGTGCTGAAGTTGCAACCACCTGGGAAAGGGCAGGAATGTGTGGTAGGAGCTTCCAGTCTGATGCACCAAGGGCTGGAGCCAGGCTGGGAGAGCTGGGGGGGTTCCCCTGGAGAAGAGAAGGCTCCAGGGAGAGCTGAGAGCCCCTGGCAGGGCCTAAAGGGGCTCCAGGAGAGCTGGAGAGGGACTGGGGACAAGGCATGGAGGGACAGACACAGGGAATGGCTTCCCACTGCCAGAGGGCAGGGACAGATGGGAGATTGGGAAGGAATTGTTGGCTGTGAGGATGGGGAGGCCCTGGCACAGGTTGGGCAGAGAAGCTGTAACTGTTGTGTGGATGATGATGGGGGAGGCAGGAGAGTGTTGGGAAGCAGGAGGATGAAGGTGATTTTCTTTTCACAGAACACTTTGCAATCCTCTCTTGCAATTCCCCCTTTTCCAGCTCCACCGAGGTCGATGACATGATCCGCAAATCCACGAACCTGCTGCTGACCAGGACGCTGAGCAACTGTTTACAGAACGTCATCAAGAGGAAAAATGTGGGGCTGACAGAGGTGGGACGTGGGTTTGGGGTGGTAGGACAAGGGGGAACAGCCTCCAGCTGAAGGAGGACAGGGATAGATGGGATATTGGGAAGGAATTGCTGGCTGGGAGGGTGGGGGGGCCGTGGCACAGGTTGGGCAGAGAAGCTGTGGCTGCCCCTGTGCCCCAGAGGATCATCCCAACCCTCCTGCAGCTCTGGCAGCCTTGGGGCCGTGCCCACTGCCCTGGGGAGCCTGGGCAGTGCCAACCACCCTCTGGGGGAAGAACCTTTCCCTGAGATCCACCCTGAGCCTGCCCTGGCACAGCTCCAGCCATTCCCTGGGGGCTGTCCCTGCTCCCCCCAGAGCAGAGCTCAGTCCTGCCCCTCCTCTGCCCCTGCCCAGGCAGTTGGGACTGCAGGGAGGTCTCCCCTCAGTCTCCTCTTCTCTGACCTCCCACTGGGATTGGGATCATTGCTCACTTGGATCATGCCAGCTGTGGGTTTCTTGCCTGACTTTTCCTTTCTCCCAGACAGAAACCCCAAAGCTTCTCTGGGCACCCTGTTCCAGTTCTGCACCACCTTCCTGATGTCTCTCTTCCTTCCTAATATCCACACCAAACCTCCCTGATGTGACCATCACCCTTCCCATGTCATCCAGCACCACCAGGAGTTGGGCTCTGTGATCTCTGTAGTGCCACTTCAGTATTTCTGTGCCCAAACCCCTTAAATCGCTGATTAATCCAACCTCATCCAGAGCTGTGGGTGTTTCAAAACCATTCCTGCAGAGGACGTGGCTCCAGACGACGCTCCAGCAATCCAATTATCATTTAATAATAGTTCCAAAGCAATTATAATTAATCCAGCCGTGTGATTCCTTCAGGGTCTGGAAGGGATCTGGTCACCACCAGCACCCTCCCAAAAGCCAAACCTGGTGGTTTCTTTGTTTGCCTCGGTGTGATGCTGCTGGGTGTCACTCCAGGTGTGGGTTATTTAGGGTTCATTGGCAGACAGAAGAGGTGTTTTTTTGTTTTGTTTTGTTTTTGCCTTCTGATTTGTCAGGGCAGATTTTTTTTTTTTTTTTTTTTTGGGAAGCCGGTTGGGTTTGGGCACGGCTGACACGAGCCCGGAGTGACAGCTGAGTGCAGGAAAGTCATTAGAAAATAATCATCTCCTGTGGTATTAGTGGCTGTCATGGGAAAGGCTTTCACCCCCAAATTACCTTTTATTTAAGTTTCTGCTGTTGGCAAAGGAGGAGCCGCTCTGAGTCCGGAGCGAAGCCCGGTGTGTTTGCACAGCACCAGCTTTTCACGCCAGCGTTCCTTGGATTGAACCTGGCACATCCCTGGCTTTGGGAAGCATCACAGTTGAACCCCTTTTTTTTTTTTTTTTTTTTTTTTACCTTTACAGCTTGTACAGATTATTATAAACACCACCCATCTGGAGAAATCCTGCAAGTTCCTCGAGGAATTTATCACCAAC